TTTTTTTCTAAAAAAAATAGTTTTTTTTTTTTACCTTTTGGGTTTTTACATGTTTAATTTTAGATTTTACACTTATGTAGATATATAACTAATCATATTACTCACAGTTTCACAAATTAATCATTTTTCTCATAGTTAAAATAAAGTTGTAAAATTACCTCTCTAAGTTCTATTTTAAATATTTAAATTCAAATAATAGAACATATTCAAAAAATTTACATGAACACTTTCTAAACAAATATTTAATTTTTTTAATAAATGTATATCATTATCCATATCTCAAAACGGTGGTGGGACCCATTTTTCAGAATTTACAACAACGTCGGAGAAATGCATTGGACATAAGAGGAATGTGTAACACTCGTATTTTTACTTTCAAGTTCGAATTTTAGAATTGAAGCTTTTATCGTGGGATTCATCGGTATTTACGAATAATAGGTACTCTGATACCAATATTGAGGTCTTGGCATATTTTTGTGGGTTAAGGAGCCAAGTCCGAAGAAATATCATGGATCCAGTGTTCCGGGAGACTTTCCATGCGAAAATCAGTTAGAGGCCAAGGCCACTTGTGAGGCTTCTTAGGTTGCATGGGCATAAGTCACTCGGGTGTTTTGTGTGTGAACGGGTGAAGTCGCCGAAAGGCATGGTTGCTCGATGAAAAGAGGCCAGGCACCTTAATCCGGTTTATTTGCTCTATGAGTCTTTGGAGCTATATACAGTTATGACATATGTATTTGATATATTGTATATTTTGGGTGTGTTAGCCATTCGATTAATGTCGTGTAATTTAGATTGAAATGCAATTGATCCACAAGCATATGAGTCAGTTGATGGTTTGGAATAGGACTATTGTCCCTATATTCTTGCTAAAAACTACAGATGTAACGGGGGACTTGAGTTATAGACTACTGGTGGTACCGTGGTTGAACTTGATGACCGTATGATCCATAGCAGGGGACTTGAGCTAGACCATGGGTGGTTTAACTCGATGACTCTGTAGTTCGTATAGTGGCTGTCATTTCTAGCAAACGAGCATGACTAGCATTAGCGGGGGTCCTAAATTACGTACAAATTGTGGATGGTTGAACAACTCTCTTTTTGTGAAAACTTATTTGGAGCTTTTGATCTCTTTTAATCCAACATATGGTTTTCTCTTCAAATGCACTCCAAACAAGAACTGTTGTCTTCGAACGTGTGTTGAGTTCCTCGAAACACTCCAAAATAGAAACTTTATCTCGTACTAACGGTGAACGTATTGATGACTTTAAATTGTTTGCAGATGAACCAAATCGAGTAATAACAAATTGTGCGGCTTAACAAACACCAAAATGAACTTCCTTCAAACCCTCAAATAACCAAACATCACAGTTGTGACCGAACATACTTTATCTATAACTTTTTTGCATTCTACATAGTGCCTCCAAATGCTTATGTGATGCATGCAAATCCTCCTCGATCTGAGATTACGAATACCCCCAAATTACCATTCTCATACAAAATGTTTTTTTTCCAACAAGTATCAGTACGAAAAAACAACCCAAGATATGGGAGCCTTTTGGATGGAGAACTTACCATGGTTCTAAGGTGCATCATGAGAAAACGAGTCCATAAACAATACCAATCTCCACACAAATGTCGTTTTCTGATTATTAAGCGAATATTGAGAAAACAAACAAATTTAGGGGTCATATGGACTGACGCACATCGGACATCCATCTATTGGTGATCCATTAATGGAGAATCTCAAATGTTGCTCGAACTTCCAACATATGTGATTCCTTCCGAGTTAGTCATGTTGAATAAACATGGCGTGTGAATTAAAGCCGAGTAACAACAAAAAAGTAAAGGTACAACTTTTATGAAAAAGATGTAGTCTTCGAACAATGCTTCAAATAATTACCAAGAAACAAAATTGAACCTCTTATACCACTAGATAATCAAAACCGTAAAGCCCTGATACCACTTGTTGGGATTTAATACCACAACGGTTTTTAAACTGAATACTCATGGTGATGATCTTTACCAACCAAATACACAATATGTGGTATTAACTATGTTAACAAACCAAATTGAAAAAAAAAAACAAGTACTATGTTAACAAACCGAATGCAAGTAAAAACTGATGAATTGATATAATTCCACCACTCGTTTGATGGTGTGCCTCCACACACAAATTCACAAAAAGGTAAAACAAAATCGAACGAAGATTACAAACCAAAATCACAAATCTTGATTTGAACAATCTTAAAGCTGTTAAAGCTAGTCCTCATGTTACTACTAAAAAAAAGGGTATCACCGACGGATCCCAAAAAAGTCAACTTTTATCCATATCCGTCACAGAATCCCCACAAATCCCCCACTAAATTTTTTTGGAAAAAAAATTAAAATTATTTAAAACGGGTTTTTAACGGATTTGTGACGGATTTCCGACGGATTTTTTACTTATTCAAAACCGTCACAAATCCGTCGCAAAATTTGTCTAATTTATTTAAATAAATTAATTAGCGTTAATCAAAAACATTTTCCGACGGAATTTAATTTTTAATAAAAACAAATCAAATTCTGTCGGAAATCCGTCGGAAAATGTTTTTGATTAACGCTAATTAAACCTTTATATATATCTATACTATATATATCTCTTGTTAGGAAAAAAAAAAGAAAAAAACAGTTTTTTTCTTTTAAAATTTCCGACGGATTTCCAATGGAATTTAATTTTTATTTTAAAAAAAATAAATTCCGTCGGAAATTTTAAACCTTTATATATATCTATTCTCTATATATATCTTGTTAGGAAAAAAATAAAAAAAAAATATTTTTTTCTTTTAAAATTTCCGACGGATTTCCGACCCGTCAGAAATCCGTCGGAAATTTTAAACTTTCATATATATATATATATATATATATATATATATATCTTGTTAGAAAAAAAACAAAAAAAAAACATTTTTTCCTTTTAAAATTTCCGACGGAATTTAATTTTTATCTAAAAAAGTAAATTCCGTTGGAAATTTTAAACCTATATATATCTTGTTAGGAAAAAAATAAAATAAAAACATTTTTTCTTTTAAAAGTAGAGTTGTTTTTCCGATGGATTTTGCCGTCGAAAAAACCAGATTTTTTAGTAGTGTCATCTCATTATTATTCACTACAAAATAAATGAACTTTACCCACAAAAATCATCCATGAAAATTTTCGTAGGCAATTATCGACGAATTACCCAAAAAATAGTGATGGTTTAGTAGAAGCCGATATTTTTCAAGAAAAATACCAACAGATCACCAGAAATGTCTAGGTAATCTGTCTCTGATTTGAATTACCCAACAACTTTTATGCCAATTTTGTAACGAATCATCCCAAGAGAAATCCTTAGGATGCGTTTGGTTTGCAGGAATGTTTATGAGGGATTTGGATTTGCAGGAGGAATTTGGATTGGATTGGATTTAAAATTCATTCTTGTGTTTGGTTTGCAGGATTTGGATTGGATTTGAAATCCATTTATTCACCTTGGCTAAAAAAGCAAGGTTTCACTTTTCAACATCTAGCTGGACATGAAAGCATGAAAGAATTTCAACAAGTAATTTAACTACACAACAACAGATACATGCCTGAAATTTGCATATCATCCATGTAAATGAAATCCTTCAAACAGTGGATATTAATAAATACTTAATTCTACATTTTTTATTTATGTCCCCTTATTTTCAATTCATTGGATTCTAGGAAGCTGAGGACGATTGTACCGAAGCCTAATTAAGCTTAGATGATCGTTACATTAAAGCATACTCAAGACGTTCAACGGCTAGAAAAGAACTCGGTAAACTTAAATCAAGAAAGGGGACAGGAAGATGTAAAAGCATCAATTTCAACAACTAAATCAAGAAAAAGCATCAAACCACTACATTTTGAAACTGTTATTAATAGAAACCAAAACATTCAAGAAGAGGAGAGAAGGGATTTACCTGCTGAGTGATGGGAGAAGGCGGCAAAGAGGAGGGGTTTACCGGCGGGTAAGGGCAGCAATTTCGCGAAGGGACGGGAAGGGAGCACCAGCGAGGACGACCGATTAGAGCGCAACTTCGCTAGGGGACGGGAAGGGAGCACCGTCGAAGAGGACCGATTAGGGCGCAACTTCGTGAGGGGACGGGAAGGGAGCACCGGCGAGGAGGACCAATTAGGGCGGGAGGAAGCGATGGGAGGGAAACGAGGTGAAGGGAAGCGGGAGGAAGCGATGGGAGGGAAGCGAGGTGAAGGGAAGCGGGAGGAACGATGGATTTTAATGTAATCCCGCCCCTTTGCAAAGGATTTCCAAATCCCTTGTTTGATGGATTTTAATGAAATCCCGGGATTTCAAATCCTGACAATTTGGCAAACCAAACACAGGATTGGAATGGATTTTAAATCCAAATCCCCCCATTTCCATTCCATTCCTGCAAACCAAACGCACCCTTAGGTAAAAAGTCTTTCGCTTAGTAGTGATTGTGATTTAATAGAAGGGAACCAAAGGACTATATTTATACTAAAAGCCACACAAATCATAGCTCGATCCAAGCAGCATAAACAGTAACATCTAGGCCTTGAGTCTAACCAAGATTGCTGCGAAGATTTTACCATGAAAACATTGGCTAATTATTGGATCGATCAACTTGGCCATGGTCATGGATATTATATGGAAATCTATAAATGCTTTTAGAACAGAATCAAAGCTTTTGGTCAATGATTTAACGACTTGAATATATGCAATTTTTTAGTCCATGGTGGAACTTTTTAAACTTGTTTGTAACAGATATTGGAAAAAAAAAAGCGAAAATAACGATGCCTTTTAGAGGGCGTACAGTTTTTTATCAAATGATGGTTAAAAAAGATTTCTAAAAGAAATGATAGATTGGTCCATGACAAATAATAAATTCAGAAGATAATGTCGAGAGAACTTTGTCACCTTTTTCGGTTTATAAATATACATCTGGAAACCACACTTTGATGTGTAGTAGAAATCCAAACAAATGGAAGGTCTACACTTGTATCTCCTGCTTCTAATCTTAGCCTGCTCCCTATTCAACAAATATGTCGTCCCCAAGATCAAGAATCTGCCGCCAACTCCGTTATCGGCTTTAACAGTAATAGGCTATCTTTGTTTCTTCAAGCAGCCCATCCATCGAACCCTGGCTCAAATAGCCTCCCGCCACGGCTCAATCTTGCTCCTCCATTTTGGCTGCCGGCGAGTCCTTCTCATCTCTTCCTCATCGGCTGCGGAGGAGCTCTTCACCAAAAACGATGCCGCCTTTGCCAACCGCCCTAAGTTGCTGCCGGGAAAGGTATTTGGACATAACTACACCAACCTTGCTTGGGCACCTCATGGTGCCCTCTGGTGTCACCTCCGCCGTGTCTCGTTACTTGAAATCCTCCCGTTTCATCGTCTACCAGCCCAAAATGAGTCATGTACGGAGGAGGTGAGGCTGTTGCTTGGCCGTCTTTTCCATTCTGAAGAGAAAGTAATAGAGTTAAAACCCATGTTTCTGAACCTTGTGCTTGATGTGATGATGAGGATGTTCGCTGGAAAAAGGTATAATCCATGTATTTTTGAGTAATTAAGCGATCGTTTTAAACAGTATATATATTCTTGAAAATTACCATGGATCCAAGTCTAACGCCAGAGAAATTGGCAACCCTGACAAGATTTCCCAAAGAGTCGTGTTTAGTTAATTTTTAGCCAACTTTAGTAATTTCTGGGTTGTTAAATACCAATGATTGATCCATAAAGTATATTAAATGCCTACTATTTCCATTTTTAAGGTACAAAATTGTGAGCACGATTCTCAAATTATAGTTTATTCTAGGTATTGCACAAAGAAAATGGCGGAGGGGGACGTGACGCAGCCAATTTCGTTATTGGACTACGTTACCCGTTCATTTAGAATGACGACGGGAGAGCCGGATGTAGGTTATTTTATGCCAATACTGAAGTTGTTGGGACTGAGAGGCTTGGAGCAAAGGTGCAATGACTTGCAAAAAAAGGGAGATTTGCTCATGGACAGCATAATTCATGAGCTAAAAACAAGGATGCTGGGATCGGGTGAAAAAGAAGACAAAGTGATCGAGTTCTTGTTGGCTCGACAGCAAGACGATCCTAAACTTTATCCTGATGAAATGATCAAAGGACTTGTGCTCGTAAGTTCTTGTTATCCACAATATAATTTTCCAAGAAAAGTTCATTTTTTTATGATTGCATGACAGTTCTAAACAGGTCTATATTCTTTTAGGTGTTAACATCAGCAGGTACTGAAACGTCGGCCGGAATTATGGAGTGGGCGTTTTCCCTTTTATTGAACCATCCAGAAGTTCTACATAAAGCACAGAATGAGATCGAGAACTATGTTCGCAATGATCGTTTCCTACAGCCATCAGATATAGAGCATCTGCCTTATCTCAGTTGCATTGTGAAGGAGACGTTGCGAATGTACCCAGTTGCCCCTTTGCTAGTCCCTCACGAGTCATCAAAGGAATGTACAATCAGTGGGTATAACGTGCCTAAAGGCACCATGCTAATTTTGAACGTTTGGGCTATTCATCACGATCCAAAAATATGGGACGAACCCATGAAGTTCAAGCCTGAAAGATTCGAAAAAGTCACAGGCAAAAGAGATGCATTTAAGCTGATGCCCTTTGGGTATGGGAGGAGGAGTTGTCCTGGGAAGCACATGGCAGTTCGTGTGATCAGCTTGGCTTTGGGCTCGCTTATACATTGCTTCGATTGGGAAAGGGTCAGTGAGAAGAAGGTTGACTTGACCGAAGAAACCGGCCTTTCCTTGCTCAAGGCTCAGCCATTGATGGCTGTATGTCACCCACGTTCGACTATGGTGAATCTACTTTCCGAAATTTGAAGATATCTAAGGGAGAAGCCAGGAATATATAAGTTGTTTAGGTTTGGTTTTTATTTTATCAAGGGTTTTATATGTGATGATATCGTGTTAGGACGATCGTTACTATATCTCATGACGGTCATATATATATATGTTCTGCCTGAAACAAAAAAGGCACAAATGTTATTGCCAAATGATCCGAATTGGGACTTGGCCAGGTATTAGTTTAGACCGGACCGTAATAAATGTGTTTAGAAATATGGGTTTGCCATGTATCAATCGAATCAAGTTTGGATCTACTTTTGGATCGTGTAAAAGTAAAACTCAGTCTCCTAATAATACTTCAACCCTATGAATATCTTGGGTTTCACAAAGTTTATTTTGGTATAATCCAAACTAAAACACACTCTCGTTCTTAGGCAAAAACGAGAGTAAAAAACACACTGATTATGTTATGTTGGTATCTGGAAAAACGAGATTGAAAACTCCTATTAATTAAAAAGGATTTAATACTTCAGTTGGTAACAGGGTAGTTAATTAGTAGCATTTATAAGACAACACTCACTAATCTTGTAGGCACTGGCACTGCGGGTCAAGCACTAAAGTTGAAGGAAACACTACTTCTAAGGGTCAATCACTGCAAGGGGCATCGCCACTTGACCATGTAAGGAGCGCTGCCCCTAGACTCCACAAATGGATGCAACCCTTTTGACCCTTGCCATTTGGTGATACCGGGTTCAAGCTAGCTTATATAAGTGTGATCTTCGAACCTCCTAATCTGTATTATAGTCTAAAAAGAACCCTCTTAGACTCGTACAAATCTCAATTACACCAAATACGATGACATTAAAATGGTCAAAATAATGTATTAGTTTAACCAAAACCCTATCTACAATATATATATATATATATGTATATATATATATATATATGTATATATATATATGTACGCATCTCTTCCCTTGTTAATGACTCCTTTAAAAAGTAATACACTTGTGCATCTCTTTAGGAGCATGAAAACTTTCTGGCTGCCTTCAGAAACCCCCATAGGTATGGGAACAGGCCTAATCCGTCAGGAACCGGTCCACCTATCTCGGTCTGGGACGGGGATTTCCCGCTAAACCGAGGATGAGGACGGGGACAGGTATCGCACTCTCCCGCCCAGTACCCGTTGTATGTATTAATTAATAAATAATATATATTATTTTTTCATTTAAATCGGTAATTCATAATTCCTAATCGTAATTAAGTTTATAATCTAAAATTGTTATTTCGTTTTTATGTTAGTATGCAATATTTTGAATGTCAAGTCAAAATACAATTACTCGACATGAGTTTATATTACTCGATATATTTTAGTACGTGTGACTTTAAGTATTATCGATTGTAAAGTTGAATTTTAATAACAAAAACATGACTTGATTAGACAGTTATATTGGTATCTAATTTGTTTTATCCATGCACTACTATACACTTTTTTCATAAATGCTTTGATTGGTCGTTCCACACTATTATCACTAGCGTCATGGAGTGATTGCAATTGGAGAGTGCTTTCGCTTTTCATTCGTATGGTTCGGGGAAAAAGACGTCACCGGTTCGATATACGGACCTCATTATATGCTTTTTCTTTTGTGAAATTTCGAAGACTATGCTTAGCCAGTTAGCCCTAAATCACAAAAGTATGCTCCATGTTAACCATAAGGGTGGTGTCTGATTGGTTTGAGCTTGGCTTCAAAGGTTAAAAGTATCTGGAGGTCTCAGGTTCAAATCCAAGAAGGAATAAAAATCCTCTTGTGACCACAGAGGTTCAAATGCGGTGACTCCGGGCTATCTGCAAAGCAGATGGTCGTCCTATGATTAGTCTGCTCGCATAGCGGGTTGGATATCCAGGTTAATAAAAAAAAAGTATGCTCCATGTTTACGATTTGAAAAATGAAAATCTTATAACTTTCAAACCATATTATCAAACTACCCATATTGTTAAACGAAAAGTATAGTCCCATATCTTACTGCAACAAAATTGAATTTAAGTACGTAAAGAATATCTAAACATTTTAATAAACTCCTAAAAATATTTTATAGGACCATAAAATAAAACGTTATATATAAATGTGTTGTAATAAGTTTACATGATATTTTTAGGTGTCTTAACAAGTTTCTAGGATAGTTTTATAAAAAAAACATGAAATTAGCTATTTTATAGAACATTATTTGAAAAAATGTCTTATAATAAAAACAAATGTTATGTAAAAAATTGTTCATAAGGACGCTTCTATAAAATAGTTGATACGATGTTTCACATTAAAAGGGTGCTAATAAACTTATTAAGATGCTTAAAAACGTCTTATTAATTTATTACAACATCATTAAACATTACGTTTTATTGTTTGATCTTATAAATTTAATTTATAAACAGTACATTCAGACACCTAGAAATTGTTGGTATAAACCCGATTTTGATTGTATCTACTTTTGCATTTGTAATTTAGATGATCTCGACCATAGCATGATTTTCTTTTGAAGTATATAATATTTATATACAGCAAATAGAACAAATAAATCCACATACTCTCCTCAACTTTGGTGAGGTTTGAACCCTTGACCTCATAGGACGCCATGGACTCACCGCGTACCGTTAAGCCAAAGGCCCTTTGGTTAAGATGGCTCGCCTAAACTTATGCGTTTATTTTTCTCGACAGTCTCGGTATACTCTCGATGTGGTCTCGATGTGTTGCAATCCCGCGTTTTCGCTACCTGCTTGCTAGCTTTTAATGAGATTTGTGGTTGTTGTTTAAAAGACCTTAACGATTACCACCAATTTTTTCTTGCTTTAGAGTAAATACTCCCTCAAATCCCAACCCTAGCTACCCGATACTAAAATTGGGACTTTCAGCGACAAATGAACCTGTTGAAAAAATGGATCATTGGCGTATTTATGGCTGATCTCATGGACAGAGAAACCATAGCCGGAAAACTCATTCACCGGCGGATTAAAGCCGCTACAAACCCGCCGATAATTAATTTCGATAATCATCTGGATTTAGCCAACTAAGTAATCAAGGTAATTAATTGATTAAGTTATTGGCGGATTAGCGACGGATAATCCATCGATGAGTTAATTAATTAATCAAATCACTGGCTAATTAGCCACTGCTAATCCATCAGTGATTTAATTCACTCATCGGCGGATTTCTTCTAGTTTTATTAAAAAAGTTCAAAACAAAATAAAATTACAGGTTAATTTGCACCAACTAATCCGTCGATAAATACACAGTTCAAGAAAATCAATTTACCTGTTTTTTAATTTTAGTTTCCTATAAAAACTACAAAAATATAAACGACATAAACGTAAACCTAAATATCATACATCAAAAATAAAATAGCGTATACAATTAAAAATACAAATTTGGCTAAAAAAATTCGATTGTTCGGTTCAAAAACATTCGAATCAAAACTTTGGTGACCGTGGCCGTAAAGGAAACTGGTTCTGCGATTAAGACAACTTCGTGACATTCTCCCTCCCTCGTCTCTTCTTACGAATTTACTGGGCCTTGTCAAGTCTTTAATAGTTTCTAGAAACATTAATTAGAAGGATCATCAAGTCGTTACAAGCCTTTCATTAGAAATTAAGAGGCTATATATAATGCTATAAAAGATAAAGCCTTATGAGCTATTAATTCATCAAATTAGCCACACTATTTATTACCTTAGAGGCTACTAATTCTTTGGTATTGAAGAAATTAGACCTTTTTTTATTAACCTGGATATCCAACCCGTTATGCGAGCTGACTAATCCCAAAACGACCACCAACTTTGCAGATAATGCGGAGTCACAACATTTGAACCTTCGTGTCCACAAGGGGAAATTAGACCTTCGTTTTTTACCCATAGATTTACAAATTTGTTTATATGAATCTTAGCTAATGTTATAGAACCTAAAATTAATAGGTAGACAAACTTTTCAATGCATCTAAAATGACTTGATTGATAACCACTAGTAAACAAACACATGATCTTACCAGTTAAATTACCTTTCGTAGTTAAGCAATTAAACATTAATTGTCAGTTACAAAGGTCAATATGAACTAACATTTCATTTTTAAAATTTTTAAAATCAAATTACTCGTGGGATATTCCGATTTGTTAATGATAAAATATTCTACTACAAATCTGCCAGAAACATCTTCAATTTTTATATTATTATTGCTAGATTACTATCATTATTATAATTTTTATATTATTATTATTCATTAGTATTATTATAACTAGTAAGATTGAAAAATAACCATTGTTGACCCATCTTGCTCCAATATGATCCATTTTTACCCAATAATCAATAATCATGTTGTGCGAATGAGATTGACCCGTTTATACTTATTATCATCAACTTAAACTCATTCTGATATGTTATTATCATCATGGTTCATTACAGCCTATTAAGACTCATAAAATCCCAATAAGAACCTTTTATGACTTATTATAGCTCAATAAGACAAATTACGACTCATTATGTGTTTGTGTCTAGGTAGTACTACATATATGTATGATGTGTGTATTAGGACTCGATAAGAACAGTAGAGCCGTTAAAGCCCAACAAGACTCTTTATAACTTATTAAAGACCACTAACACCCGAGGGAATTCATAACTATCTCAATTTTTTCGTTTTTCTTTTAACTCATTACGTGTTTCTATACTGCGAGAAAAATGAGCTTCGACGAGGCTTCTTTAGCGACGAAATGTTTCAACCACAAGCTATAGCGGCAACATTGCATTGCTATAAATTGTGTTGTGATGATGAATAGACTTTTTAGCAATGACAAGTCATCGCCAAAACCCATGTTTTTCTCGTGGTTAGGTATATGCTGCATATATGTATGTGGTGTGTATTTGGACACGATAAGACCATGAAGAACCACTTATAGCCTATTAAGACACATTAAAGCCTACTCAGACTCGTTAGAGCCTAATAAGACCCTTTAAAACTTATTACAGCCCACTAAAACCAATTATGACTCATTACATGTTTGTATGTAAATATGTATTGCCTATACGTTTGTGGTGTGTATTAGGATGCAATAAGACCACTAAGATCCATTAAAGCCCACCAAGATATACTAAAGCCTAATAAACCCTTTTATGACTTATTAAAGCCCAATAACATCAATTATGATATTATGTGTTTATATACTTCATGAATGTATGTGTTGTGTATTGGGGCTTGATGTGTGTTTGTATGTATGTGATTAATCGATATATTTGCCACGTTGTCTAAGTAATGCATATGTAATCAAATGTGTGTGTGTGTATATGTATGTATAATACATATGTCACTGTATATGTATGTACGTTTTCGATATGGATATACGTTTATGTATATATAGGTATATGTATTTAATTCTGTATGTTCGTATGCGTATGTAAGTATATTATACATATGACTTGTAATCATATGAGACCAAACTGTTTTCGTAAGACCCATCTATATGAGACCAAACTGTTTTCGTAAGACCATCTAAATAACACTAAACTTTCACAACAAAACACTGTGAAGGTAACCTTCACGGTGTTTTTACTGTGAAGGTTCGAAGTTCTTTTTACTTTTACAATATTTTGCTGTGAACTTTCAAATGTTATTTTGTGGTCTTACAGTTCTCACGAAAGTAAGTTGGTTTTATATGAACCTAACCCTTATATATATATATATATATATATATATATATAGACTTGGGATCATGTGAGACCAGCTTGTTTTCGTGAGACCCGTGAGACCAACATTTTACACTTGAAACTTCACAGCAAAATGCTGTGAAGGTTCGACTTTTTTTAAACATTCACAGTGTTTTTGCTGTGAAGGTTACGTGTAAAAATGTGGTCTCACGGGTCTCACGAAAACAGGCTGGTCTCACGTGAACCCAACCCTATATATATATATATATAGGGGTCCATTCAAGGAAGAACTGATTAGTTTGTGATAACCGTGATATCCAATGTGAACCACTCATTTAAGACATTTAAAGATTTTTTTTAAATAAGTTAAAAAAGGGTAATATAGTAATTCTATTTTTGACAACTAATCAAAATATTTAATTAATTTTTTTAGAATGAAATATTTAATTTAAAATAGTTACCTAATATACATTATATTTTAAAGATGTTTGTGAATCAACTTGTATCATAGTGATATCGTTCACAATGTTTCACGTGTGTCACAATGTATTTCTTTGTTTTATGAAATATATCATAACATGCATTTTTATTATTTTCATTGATTTACAAATGGTATCACATTGTGCATCTTGTATGTATATCTGGGTATCACAGTGAATATAGTTTGTAGGTATCATAGTGTGTATCTTGTGTTCACATAAGGATTATCGGAATACATTATTAAAAAAATGTGTATCACCGACGGAAGTTTCTGGCGAAAATTCCATCGGAAAACCAGTGACGGATTCCGACAGATTTCTGACGGATCCCAAAAAGTCAAGAAAAATCAACTTTCGCCGACGTCCGCCACAAATCCGTCATTGATTTTTTTTTTAAAAATAAAATTTTATTTCTACAACTTCCCCAACGGTTTTTTGACGGATTTGTGACAGATTTTTTACTTGTTTAATACCGTCATAAATCCGTCACAAAATTGGTCTAAATTATTTAAATAAATTAATTAGCGTTAACTAATAAAATTTCCGATGGATTTTAATTGATTCTTATATTTAATTATACTCCGTCGGAAATCTGTTGAAAATGTTTAAGAAAACTTTTTTTTTATTATTCTCTTCCAAAAGATGTTTTAAAAAATAGTTCCGACGGAATATAAAATTTATAATAAAAAATTATACTCCATCGGAAATGTTTATATAAGAAACTTTTTTTTAATTATTTTCCCTTCCAAAAAAATATGTTTAAAGAAATAGTTTCGTCGGAATATAATTTTTATGTCGGAAATGTTTAAGAAAACATTTTTTTATTCTTTTCCCTACCAAAAAATTATGTTTAAGAAAATAGTTCCGACGGAAAATAAATTTTATAATAAAAATTATATTCCGTCGGAAATGTTTAAGAGATTTTTTTTTAAATTCTTTTCCTTTCCAAAAAAATATGTTAAAAATAGTTCTGATGGATTTTCGACGCAATATAAATTTTATAATAAAAATTTATATTCCATCGGAAATGATTAAGAAACCTTTTTTAGTAGTGATAAGGTTTGCCGAATAAGCTTCGTCGGAGAGAGGAAATAGGAGAGATGAGAGAGCATATTTTATAAAATCCCTAATATGCCTTCAATTAATATTTGAAGTTAAAATTACTAAAATTATTAATTTCATAATTTAACCTTTGATTTATGGTGTCTGATTGGTTTGAGCTTGAGCTCCAAAGGTCAAGAGTATCTGGATGTCTCATGTTCAAATCCAATGAGGAATAAAAATCTCCTTGTGGCCACGGAGGTTCAAATGCGGTGACTTCGGGCTATCCGCAAAGCAGGTGGTCGCCCTGGGATTAGTCGGCTCGCATAATGGGCTGGATATCCAGGTTAATAAAAAAAATTGACTTTTAATGATTTGTCACTGATTTCAGACAAAATAAATTCGTCGGTGAAAATTCATTGTTTAGTAGTGACCTTGCTCACTTTTCCTGGATTATCTTATTTTTTTTTCCAGGTTTTAAAGTATCTAGCATTTTTAATTCTAGATTATTTACAACTTTTGTTAAATATCAGGATGCTACACTATTTTTAGTACTATAGTACAAAATTCTCAAAATGTCATACGACACCTACACCAACAAACATTTTCTCGTCGTTTAGTTGATGTTGGGTCTTCTATTGTCAGTGGACAAATAAAGTAGATTCGAGATTGCAAGCAACATTCAATATGCAACATGTACTGCAAACTCTCGAACGACTTTATCCTTTTAAAGTTTCTAAAAGGGAAACCTAATGTCAATTCAATCAAGAAGAGGTTTTTTGCATGCTTAAAATGTGCAATTTGAGGAAGTTTACTACTTCCACAAATTGCATGTGTAGCTCTATTGACCCTTGCAAACAATGTTGTTAGAAGTGCTAAGATGACATTTCTTATTATAATATCACCAACTTGTTATTACAATGTACTTTTAAAATGTGTCTAATAACAACATGTTTTTACAAATTTTCTTATTATAGCATTCTATCTTCGTTTTTTCTTATTACAACAATGTGCTTTCAAAATATTTTTTATTATATGCATCGTACTTTCAAAAATTTCTCGTTATAGCATTGGGTAACCTTTTAAATTAAATTTACTAATTATATCAGGTTTCTTTGCCACCTCATCGTCCACGTAGGCTGTCCACATGTACGATAGTGATAACATGACATTTCTTATTATAACATCACTAACTTCTATTACAGTATTGTACTTTTAATTTTAATATTTTTATCATTTAAATATTGTAAATTTAATCAAATATGTTTACTAAAAATTATAATATCAGAAATTAAACCTATTTACAAAATATCACTATTTCATGAATAAAAATATTCATAAAAATCATTCGTTTCATCGAGTTCATCGTAAATTTCATGGCTTACTTTGTTTTTAAATTAGATTTTTATTAAAGAAGTTCATATAATAGTAACTCTATTAATTACCTAAAGCTGATATCTTAATCTTGTAAATAAAATCACATTACCGGTTGTTCTCAACTTCTCATGGAACAAACCATCGTCTTATTGTTATTTAAACTCATTTTTACTCATTCATTCTCACATATATCAGCATCACTTTTTTAATGTTTTAAATTAACCAAAAAATAGTCTAAGGCATTATTTGACAAAAATAAGTTAGTTTATTTTCTGGGTGTACGTTTGAATGTACATAATTAAGCTAGCTTTTTGAAACGTTACCTTAAGTAGCGTTTTGGTAGCTTATTGTCACTTTTTTGTATAATAACACTCATTAATATTAATTATTAATAAACATTAATTAAAACTTAATTTTAATTATACATTAATATTATCTATTAATTCTTTAATTAATTATATTAATTATTTTTATTACTTTTTAATTATTATTAAATATATTTATTTATCAAAAAAATATATAACAATCCTATAATGTTATATTATGAACCAGATTTTATTTTCCCTTTTTTAAAATTGTTTTAAATTAGATTTTTCTTTTAAATGACATTTAAGTTATCCCATGTGTAACAGATTATCCTATGTGGCTTCCATGTTATTTTAAGTTTGACAAGTTAACAAAGAAAAACTTGTCAAAAGGTAACAGGTTATCCAATGCTATAACGGGTAAATTTTTGAAAGTACGATGCCCTAATAAAAAATATTTTGAAAGTACATTATTGTAATAAGAAAAAGTGAAAGTAAAATACTATAATAAGCAAATTTGTAACAATAGGTTGCTATTTCACATATTTTGTTTTGTTATTTATCATAATTTATATTTTAAAGCTATATTTTACAAACAAAAAATAAATAAACCATTCACATGATAAATTAAATTAATTCGAATTTCATTCAATCTGTCATCAATCAAACATATGATTAAACCAGATTTAATTCCATTTCGTTTCAAATCTTTAGATTCCAATTTTTTAACAAACTTCATTTAATCCAAAAATATTCTGCAAATATGAAGGCCTTTAATAGTTTCTAGAAACATTAAATAGAAGGATCATAAAGTCGTTAATTACTAGCTATTTCATTAGGAGTCAAGGAGGCTATAATGCTATACAAGATAAGACTGATGAGCTATTAATTCATGAAATCAGCCACACTATTTATTACCTTAGAGACTACTAATTATGTGGTATCCAAGAAATTAAACCCTTTTTGTATCTTTGGTATATATATATATATATATATTAGTTTATGTGAATTTCAGCTAATATTATAGAACACGAAGCTAATATTATAGAACATGAAGCTAATAGTTAAACAAACCTGAAAGGATTTGATCAACTCGTATACATAGACCCTAAAGAAACACATGATATTAAGCAAATAGACTTAACTAGTAGGGTTCATAAAGACGAACTAAAACACCTTTCGTACGCAAGTCCTTTAATTTAGAAATGTAACATCTACGATTGTTGTTATAAAGGAGGATCCGTTATATGTAAACGTTATATATTTGTTCATCATACGACAAAACATTATGTTACATATAAACGCGGATATTTGTATGTAACACATAATAAATTCATTCCCCAAAAAAAACCGATCAATGGATGTCCTCTATCTTTACATCGTCTACCTCGCATTACTTATAGCTTCGTATATATTTGCAACACATTTGCGTTCGAAAATCTCGAACCTCCCACCAACTGTGTTCCCAACCCTCCCGATAATCGGCCACCTCTACCTTTTCAAATCTCCGCTCTATCGAACCTTTGCCAAAATCTCTGCCAGATATGGCCCGATCATCATTCTCCATTTTGGGTTTCGTCGTGTTCTCTTAGTCTCCTCCCCTTCTGCAGTTGAAGAATGCTTCACCAAGAATGACTTAGTCTTTGCTAATCGTCCTAAAATGCTCTACGGCAAGATCATTGGCAACAACTACACTAGCATGAGTTGGGCATCTTATAGTGACCATTGGCGCAACCTCCGCCGCATCGCCTCTACTGAACTCTTATCTCTTCATCACCTCAACGAGCTCCATGCAATACGAGAGGAGGAAGGTGGGGTCATGATTCATAACCTGTTGTTGACAAGTTCTTCCCCGGTGAATATGAAGTCGGTTTTCTATGAGCTGACGTTGAATGTGATGATGAGGATGATCTCTGGGAAGAGGTATTTCAGTGGCGATATTGCAGATGTGGATGAAGAAGGGAAACGGTTCAAGAAGCTACTCGAGGAGATGTTTTTGTCTTCAGGTGCATCGAATTTGGCGGATTACTTGCCGAATTTGAGCTGGTTGGGAGTAAAGGGATCGGAGAAGAAGCTAATTGCTTTGCAGGAAAACATAAATGTGTTCTTTCAAGGATTAATCAACCAACTTAAGCAAGTGAAAGGAGGTGAAGTAGAAAATCAAAAGAAGACGATGATTGAAGTTCTGTTATCGTTACAACGATTACATCCTGAATACTACAATGATGAAATGATTAAAAGCTTTGTGATGGTAAACCCTTCTTCTATTTCTGTTTGAATTTCCTTTTTCATTTCCATGTGAAAGATCTAAGTAAATGTTTATGGTACTGATTAGGTTCTACTATCAGCTGGTACTGAAACTTCTTCTGGAACCATGGAATGGGGTTTATCTCTTCTGCTAAATAACCCACAAGTCATAGAAAAGGCACGCAATGAGATTGACCTTCATGTTGGCAAACATCGCTTTATCCAAGAATCAGACATAGCAGATTTACCTTACCTACGTTGCATCCTGAACGAGACATTACGACTGTACCCAGCAGCCCCATTATTACTTCCTCACGAGTCATCGGAGGATTCCCTTGTCGGCGGCTATCACATCCCCCGTGGGACAATGCTTCTCGTCAACCAGTGGGCCATAAATCAGGACCCCAAGCTATGGACTGACCCTGAAAGGTTCAACCCAGAAAGGTTTGAAGGGGTAGAAGACACAAGAGATAATGGGTTCAAGTTAATCCCGTTTGGGTCTGGTAGGAGGAGTTGTCCTGGAGAAGGGTTGGCATTGCGTATGGTTGGGTTGACTTTAGGGTTACTCATCCAGTGCTTTGAGTGGGAAAGGATTAGTGGAGATATGGTTGACATGATTGAAGGTCCTGGGCTGACCATCCCCAAGGCTAAACCATTGTTAGCCAAGTGTACACCTCGTCCCGTGATGCAGAATGTACTCTCCCAGCTATGACTCCATCATCATCCCTTCTCCCTCATCGCAACAACTTCCACACTTTGCAGAAAATAGAATATTATTGAAGTGCGAATGTTTTTCTATACCTTTAAAGAAGATCGTTATTGAATTTGAAAGGTCAATATACTTGGTTTTAGGTACGATTTATTCCATTCATCTCATACTTGAGAAGATCACACTACAAGAAATCACATCTATAGCGATGAAGGTTATAGCGACATTTTGCCGTAGGAGATCCCCGAGACACAAGTATTCTCATGTGTAATAAATCAAAAGTACTATTTAAGCCTAATATTAATAAACTAGTTTATTTTTTAAGCTTTTTGTAAGAGTCTCGTTTTTATACCTATAAGCTAGCTTATTGAAAAGGTACCTACAATATTAATATGTTTATTAAGAGTTAAGTTATTTCCTCTTCTTTATAACGTTTCGACCATGAAATATTATATAACGATTATTTGTATGTTTATGTTATTGACGACAATCCAAAAAATATGCGTCATAAATTACTAGCTTGTTCTTATTTAATAGAGAGGGCTTACCCGCTATGCGAGCCGATTAATCCCAGGGCGACCACCTGCTTTGCAGATAACCCGGAGTCACCGCATTTGAACCTCCGTGGCCACAAGGGGATTTTTATTCCTCCTTGGATTTGAACCTGTGACCTCCTAGTACTTTTGACATTTGGAGCTAAGTTCAAACCAATCAGGCACCATCCTTGTGGTTAAATTGTTATTTTTTTGTCAACACTCATTTATACAAGTTTGATATAGAGTTATATATTGCTTGAATACTTTAAACCAAGCACGCATCCAGGCCCGTTCCTGACATTTTTTAGGCCTTGGGCGAACATAAAAACAGGGGCCCCACTGCAAGAAACAAGGCTTTTAGCAACGACTTTTGTTGTCGCTAAAAGTCCGTTTATTATTAGAAATATTATATAACAAAAACATGTCGTCGCTATAACTTGTGACACATGTCATCGCTAAAAGGCGCATCGTGAAAGCTCACTTTTCTTGTAGTGACCTTCGGTAAATATAAAAAAAAAATTCAATAAATGTTTTTCATTAGTATAAAATTGAGTACAAGAAATGCTAATAATTTACTGAGTAAATAAATCTTATTTATCTTTATTATAGATATATAAAAATATACTTAAATTTACGTACTTCTTATTAGATAATTTTAAACCAAGAGTATATAAACTATGGTTGAAAAATTTTTATAAAAAGTAAGAATTTTTTACTTTATAACAAGAAATATGTGTTATTTTGATACAAAAAGAGAATTCGTGTTAATGAAATAATCGTGAGGTCAATGAGAGATTAATAATAAAGAAGATTATCAAGGTATTATAGACAAGTAGACAAATGAAAATCAATAAGAATATGAAAGAAAAGATGATACATTGAGATCTAGTAAAAATAAATAATGAATTAAACATATAATATGCAAGCTCAACAAATGATTGTTTGAGCAGTTAAATAGAATCCTGTTGTGTGGTGGAATCCCAATGAAAGATACATAAGTCAAACAATTAATGAAAATATTTAATTCTATATTTTTTTTTTGCTCAACTAAAATAAGATGTTAATATTAAAAGTTTATGGAACATGACATATATAAAAGACATTACTAAATACATCTAGTAGAAAAAATTTATTGATTAATCACAAAACCATGAAACATGTCATAAATCATAATAACAATAGATTAATTGTCAAAAAAAAAGTAAAATATTTTATGTAGAAACAAAAATAGATAACGATAGTCAACAAAAAACAATTAGAACAACATAACCAAATAGCAATAGTCAATAAAAATAGAAATTGATAAAACTATCTAACAAAAATATATAGCAATAGCAAACACATGATCTTAACGTTGAATTGTTGAAGCACGAAAATACTCAAGCATATAAAGATAGCAATAGCCAATATCATTGGACCTTGTTGGAGATAAAAAAAAATTAGAAGGACAATAAACAACAGCATATAATGAATGACCAATTAATTTATTTTATTTTCTTCTCCAATGTAATTAGTTGATATATTTTTTGGCCCTTATTATCTACTAAATTATTGCTCTCTTATTATATGCTACAATTTTTTGGTTTTTTTTAATTTATTAAATTCTTTTAGACTATTATATATTTTAAGGGGAAAATTTGGGCCCCTGATATTTTTGGGCCCTAGGCGTGCGCCCGTGCCACCCTCCCCCAGGGACGGCCCTGCACGCATCACGCTTGTGTTAAGTATTTAAGGAGGAATAAAAATTCTTTTGTGGCCATGGAGGTTCAAATGCGGTGATTTTGGGCTACCTACGAAACGAATGGTCACCCTGAAATTAATGGGCTCGCATAACATGTTGGATATCTAGGTTAATAAAAAAATACTTTAATTTTAAAAATATAAGATGGGTAGGGCCAAGAACTCTGGATTTCTTTAAATTTGGTCAGCAACCAATTTGGAAACTTGATGTGGGTTCACTCTTTGCTTATCTCGTACTATTTTCCTCATTACTCGACTCCCTTCAAATACACACGTTTAGCATGCATGCATGCAGGGGGGGACCTAACGCGAAACTTTTTTTTTTTATTAACCTGGATATCCAAATCGCTATACAAGCCGATTAATCTCAAAGCGACCATCTGCTTTGCAGATAGCCCAAAGTCACCACATTTGAACCTCCATGGTCACAAGATGATTTTTATTCCTCCTTAAATTTGAAGAATTGATATCGAATTTTATACATGTAAACTAAGAAACAAATGTATTTTAGCCGCAAAAATCATCTAGGAAAATTTTCGTTGGTGATTAACGACGGATCACCTACAAAATACCATTAGTTTGGTAGAACCCGAGGTTTTTTGAGAAAATACCAACGGATCATCCAGAGAATACGTAGGTAATTTGTCACCGATTTAAATCACCCACCAACTTTTGTGATGGTTTTATGACGGATTTCCCTAGGAAAAGTTTGTAGGTAAAAGTCTTTCATTTAATAGTGGTAGGGATTATTGTCAGATACTTTTTATTGAATCGACTTTTGATAGAAAGTTACACGATCAAACAACATTACTCCACTTAAAGTACAAAACTAAAACCATATGTAGTAATTTTTTTCGTGGATTCAAATCTAAATCACTAAAAAGACGTTTCGGACTATTAGGTAAAGAGAGTACCAAATATAGGCTTGTCCCTTTGCCATATGTCGAAACCACTAGTGCCCATGGTTTTAATCGAGATATTTCATATTTCGCTACTAGGAAGTTAACTTTTATTGACAAAATCGCCTTCCAGTAATTCGGTGGTGTAACTTTGATGGACCCAGGAAATTTGATTTTCTTTTTCTTGGATTGATTGATTTATGTCACAATATTGTCGGTGGTCTGATGTAAATTCTAATTTTTCTTTATTTAATTTTTTTTAATTATTGATGAATTAATTTTAATTATATAATTAAACATGCCAATAATTTTCATATGATTTTTTATTTTTTAAAAATTAGCAAAATTATAATTAATTAAAAACCTTTGGTAATTTAACTTAATGTGTTTTTTTTACGTTTTTTAAGTCTTTAAAGCTATCGATGAATCATCGACAAAATTTAAAAGATTAAAAAATTATTTAAATTCCATCAGTAATTTAAACAATAATTTTTTTTTTGTTTTTATTTCTTTAAAATTATAACAAACCAGATTTAACACGATATTCTGGGGGTGTTTGAGATTGCTTATTTAAAACAACTTATGTTTTTCTTGTAAAAATGCTTATTAACTTATGTGGTATCAAACCGGAGTTAAATAAAACAAGGTTAAAATTGTAAACTGGTAATAAACAGTTTTTTACAAGTCAGGAAGGGTTAACTTATCAAAAACAGCTTATTACCGGTTTGGTACCGGTATAAGCAGTTTTTTTTCTTATCCAAACACCAGAAAACAGATTATTATCGGTGTCAGACTGAAATAAGTTAAAAAACAGTTTTTATAAGCAATCCCAAATACCCCCTCTAACTCGTTTATTTGAATGTATCATACTTACGTTTACTTTTGTATCGTTTACATTATACTTTTTATAATTTTGTAAATTACATCGTAAATTGAAAAAAACAAAAAAAAAATCAAATATGGACATGAGTGAAAATCAGTCGGTAATTATTTATTAGTAATTAACTAAAAATAATTAAAAATAAATAAATTCCGTTTGATAATTTAATTAATCAGTAGTGGATTACTATTGGCCATTTTCGCCAATGATTTTAATTACCGATTTAATTAAGCCTTAGTTAAACAATTTTAATTAAATTTAAGAACTTGAGCAGGGGATTTAGCGGCTACTAATCCGTAACCGATAATCAACCAATAATCAAATTACCAAAGGGGCCATCAAATGTGTGTGTATATATATATATAGAGAGAGAGAGAGAAAGAGGGGATGAGTCATTATACAACTTTTTACATTTATACAATCAATACAATCCAATTTCAACTATTCATTTGGAGTCATAAAAAAAACAACCCTTTTCATAATGTTGTAACCCATCTAAACCACATATTCATTAGATGAATGGATAAACATATATTAATGGCATTTTTGAAATTAGTACACACGAGGAATATAATGAAATAGAAAGCACCGACAACCACAACAAATTCTTTTGAAATGGAATTGGTTTTTTTTTAGTTCTAATACATGCCAACTTTCATACTACTTATTTTATTACTTAAAAATATTGTAAAATTGTTTTTGAGATAGAACCCCAAATAAAATAATCATACAAATCCATCAAAATAAATCATTTAAATATGTTATTGAGTCGTGTTTGAGATAAATATTAAATTTTAAAAAAAATCGTATAGATAATAAGACAACTCAATTTTTACATATGAATATTTCAACTAGTTTTTAACAAACATGATTTTTTCACCGGTTAACTTATTAATTATCAACTAACTTATCAATCAATAATTAATTTATCAATTAGTTTGTCCAACGTGATTATGTCTTTAACCAAAGGGTCTTTAGCCTAGTTGTATGTGAGTCATTGGCCTTCTAGGAAGTTATAAGTTCAAACCCCATCAAAGATAAGGAGAGAGTGTGAATTTATTTGTTCTATTTACCGTATATAAATGTTATATACTTTCAAAAAAATTCTATCTTTAGTTAAAAGATAATAATATTTATTTAAGAATAAAATAATGAATGAAGATAATAATGTTAAGAAAACGTGGTCATCTTTTTGGCTTATAAATACTGAAAAGGAAACCAGAGTTGATATATAGTAGAAATCATGGAATACGGACACTTGTATCTATTGCTGCTAATTTTAGCTTGCTTCATATTCAACCGATATTTGATTCCTAATTTAAGGAATCTACCGCCAACTCCATTATCGGCCATGACAGTAATAGGCTACCTTTTCTTCTTCAAGCAGCCCATCCACCGAACCCTCTCCCAAATCGCCACCCGCCATGGTCCCATTTTGCTCCTCCGTTTTGGTTTCCGACGAGTCCTTCTTATCTCCTCCTCCTCGGCTGCGGAGGATCTCTTCACCAAAAACGACGCCGTCTTTGCCCACCGACCTAAGTTGTTGGCGGGGAAGCAATTTGGACACAACTACACCAACCTTGCTTGGGCACCTCGAGGTGCCCTCTGGCGTCACCTCCGCCGTGTCTCCTGCCTTGAGATCCTCCCATTCCATCGTCTCACGGACCACCATGACTCACTTGCAGACGAGGTGAAGCTGTTGCTTGGCCGTCTTTTCCATTCTGACAACGAAATAGTAGAGTTAAAACCCGTGTTTCTGGAGCTTGTGGTTGATGTGATGATAAGGATGTTCACAGGAAAAAGGTTTTCTTCAGTATACTTGAAACTTGTTTTCTATATCATGTTTTATTAGCTTATGTGTTTCAACAATGGCTGCGAGTTTTGATCAAATAACCATGAAAATGGAAATAATGCATGTCTTTTTTCATCAATTTTTAGTGTTTGTGACGGGTATTGCCGAAAGAAATTGACAGCAAGGATGAATGCGATGGAGTCAATTTCGTTTTTGGACTATGTGACCAGTTCATTCAGGATGACAACAGCAGAGCCAGATTTGGGGTATTTTATGCCAATATTGAAGTTGCTGGGACTGAGAGGGTTGGAACATAGGATGAAGGAGTTGCAGCAAAAGGGAGATTTGCTTATGGACAACTTAATTGGAGAGCTAAGAACAAAGATGCTTGAATTTTCTGATGGATCAGGTGATCAGAGAGAAGAGAAAGTGATTGAGTTCTTATTGGCTAGACAAAAAGACGATCCTAAGGGTTACCATGATGAAATTATTAGAGGACTGTTGCTCGTAAGTTCTTGTGTTTTCTACTTCTAGAGTTTTGATTACCATGAGTATTCTAAACAGATCTATATTTTTTAGGTGTTAATGGCATCAGGTACTGACACATCTGCCGGAATCATGGAGTGGGCATTTTCTCTTCTATTGAACCATCCAGAAGTTCTACAAAAAGCACAGAATGAGATCAAGAATTATGTGGGCAGTGATCGTTTCCTAGAGCAGTCAGACATAGACCATTTGCCTTATCTAAATTGCATTGTTAAGGAGACAATGCGAATGTACCCGGTTGCCCCTTTGCTAGTCCCTCATGAGTCGTCAAAGGAATGTACAATCGGAGGGTACAACATTCCAAAAGGCACCATGTTAATGGTGAACGTTTGGGCTATTCAGAACGACCCCAATATATGGATAGAACCCGCAAAGTTCAAACCAGAAAGATTCGAAAAGGTTGTAGGCGAAAGAGATGGATTTAAGCTAATGCCCTTCGGATATGGAAGGAGAAGTTGTCCTGGTAAGCACATGGCAATGCGTGTGATCAGTTTGGCATTGGGCTCACTTATTCATTGCTTCGACTGGGAAAGAGTTGGTGAGAAGATGGTTGACTTGACCGAAGAAACCGGACTTGCCTTGCTCAAGGCACAGCCATTGATGGCTGTGTGTCGCTCATGTTCCGCGATGAAGGATCTACTTTCTGAAATTTGAGCATGTCTTTGGCAGGGATAACAATCATCAGTCAAAAACTATGTTGGTTTGCTCTAGTTTTATCTGTAATAAGGGTTTGTATCAGATAAATCATGTTAGCTAGAGTGGTATGTACTAACTATATCATCTTGACAGTGATCAGATAATATCTATTAGTAAAAATGTGATTTCTAGTACAAAAATAGGGTGCTGACAATTTCTAAGTGTCTGAATTAACTGACTGATTTACAAGACTTAATTTATAGGATTAAAAGATAAAAGCGTCCTATCTAAAGACGTTGTAATAAACTTATAGGATGCTTTCGGACGTCTTAACAAATTTTTTAGAAAATTTTTAATACAAAACGTCACAATAACTGTTTTATAGGACACAAAATCATACACTTATTTTCATAAGACATTTTTCAAATAGTGTTTTATATATAAAATAGCTAATACGATAACTTTTTATAGAAATGTTCTAAAAACTAGTTACGACGTCCAAACGTCATATAAACTTATTACAACGTCTTTAAATATGACATTTTATATTTTGATCTTATAAATTAAGTCTAATAAAACGGTTTATTATGATTCTTAGAAATTTTTACAATAAAGTCAATTCTATTACGTCCCAAACTTAGCCTACAAGAAAAATAATAAACAATCCATAAAATGGAAAACTAAGCATTCATTCGTTCTACACGTAATCAATTGAAATCTTAAGCATTTGGATTTGATTTCCTATAAAAACTAAAACCAAAATCCACCATTAACATACACCAAGAACTTCAACAATGGAGATTCCCTATCTCTACATCTCTCTCATACTGATTCTAGCTTCTTATCTGTTCACATCCCACTTCCGCCGCAGAGCCTCCAACCTCCCGCCGACCGTCTTCCCATCCTTCCCTATAATCGGCCATCTTTATCTTTTGAAACCACCCCTCTACAGAACCTTGGCCAAAATCTCCACCAAGTATGGCCCCATCGTCCACCTCCGCTTCGGATCCCGCCGTGTCCTCTTGGTCTCGTCACCTTCCGCCGTTGAAGAATGCTTCACCAAGAACGACATCACCTTTGCCAACCGCCCACGGATGCTTTTCGGAAAGATCATCGGCCTGAACTACACTACTTTGGCTTGGACACCGTATGGCGACAACTGGCGTAACCTCCGTCGTATAGCATCAATCGAGATTTTATCTATTCATCGCCTCAATGAGTTCCATGATATACGCGTTGACGAAGGCAGGCTTCTGATTCGTAAGCTGTTGTCTAACTATTCTTCGCCGGTGACTGTGAAGTCGGTTTTCTATGAACAGACATTGAACGTGATGATGAGGATGATATCTGGGAAGAGGTATTTCGGTGGTGATAAATTGGAGGAAGAAGGGAAACAACTCCGGCAGATACTGGACGACTCGTTTGTACTCGCGGGTGCTTCAAATATTGGGGATTACTTGCCCATTTTGAGTTGGTTGGGAGTGAAGAGATTGGAGAAAAAGTTGATCGCATTGAAGGAAAGGAGGGATGTTTTCTTTCAAGGTTTGATTGAGCAGGTTAGAGAAGGGAATGGGGATCAAGCACGAAATAAGAGGAAGACGATGATCGAACTATTATTGTCGTTACAAGAATCAGATCCCGAATACTACACTGATGCATTGATCCGAAACTTTGTGCTGGTAAGATCCTTCTTGGCTGAAGTTTCCTGTTTGTGCTAAAAACAATTGAAAATTGGTCATCAATCACGATTTGAAGTACATGATGTTCTAGAAATCTGAAATCTAACCTAGATTCAAGTCCTACAGTATAATAAATATATCACACAGATTTTTTATTCATGTTTTATATTAGATATCATTATCTGAACGCAAGGTCAAACTTTTGGTATTAGATAGATATTCCTAATAAACAAAAAAGGGACTTGACTAATCACACTACCTGCCGTAACGATTAATACAACCTTATTTCTGTCCTTTTCGAGCTTCGTCATTAAACTTGATGAGTCATGAGTACCAAAATCTTCAATTAATAACTGGATATAGATTTCTGATTGATTAGAATAAGATCCAAGAACCATTTCCATCAAAGTTATGTTCTTGATCTGAATCTTGAAACTTCTTTAAGAATGCTATTCGTCTGAACATTGTAAAGGGTGTTAGAATGCTGAAAATCAGTGAATAGGCGTGGAAATGGTTTCTGATTATAGTTATATCTAAGAGAATGATTACTGTGATCAGGTAATATTAGGAGGTAGGACTGATACTTCATCTGGAACCATGGAATGGGCCATGTCTCTTTTGCTAAACCACCCACAAGTTCTGCAAAAGGCAAAAAACGAGATTGACAGAAATGTTGGCACACATCGTCTTGTTGAAGAATCAGACATGCCTAATCTACCTTACCTCCGTTGCATCATAAATGAGACACTGCGATTGTATCCCCCAGGCCCGATATTTATTCCACACGAGTCATCAGACGATTGTGTTGTCGGGGGCTATAACATCCCACGTGGAACGATGCTGCTTGTCAATCAATGGGCCATCCAACATGACCCGAAGGTGTGGACTGATCCAGAAAGGTTCGATCCAAAAAGGTTTGAAGGGTTAGATGGCACACGAGATGGGTTTAAGCTGTTGCCTTTCGGGTCTGGAAGGACGAGTTGTCCAGGTGAAGGGTTGGCGGTCCGTATGGTTGGGGTAACTTTGGGTTTGATTATCCAGTGCTTTGATTGGGAAAGGGTAAGTGAAGCCATGGTTGACATGACTGAAGGTCCTGGACTCACCATGCCCAAGGCTGAACCGTTGGTAGCCAAGTGCAAACCGCGTCTAGAGATGCAGAATCTACTGTCCCAGCTGTGAGTCCGTTGTCAAACTTATGTTTGGTGTTGGTGCATTTGCCACTGTTTGTTGCTTTTTTTGGCTCGGGATTATTTGTATGTAAATTAATAAAAACTCGATAGTCCTGACTGAGATGGTTTTCCTGCGTGAGGGACGTGAAGATTAGTGAGGAGTGGGTTTGGGAAGATGAAGGGGGTGTTTGGTATCGCTTATAAAAGTTGTTTTTTAACTTATTTCAGTTTGATATCTGTGATAAGCTGCTTTCTAGTGTTTGGATAAGAAAAAAAACTGTTTATACCGGTGACAAACCGATAATAAGCTGTTTTTGATAAGTTAATCATTCATGACTTATGAAAAACTGTTTATTACCAGTTTATAATTTTAACCCTCTTATACAAAACTCCGGTTTTATACCACATAAGTTTTTTTGTAAGGGTGTTCGGGCCAAAGCCCGACTAATCCCCGGCAAATTTGGAGGCTAAACATGGTCCCACTTAAATGTCGCCAACACTCCACTCCCAGGGCTCGAACTCGGGTTCATGACTATGTCATGCCCAAGCCTTTACCACTAGGCTGGAAGGTCTTTGACTTATACCACATAAGTTAATAAACAATTTTTTTTTATAAAGTTAATAAACAATTTTATAAAAAAAACATAAGGGTGTGGGTTTCATATGTGTATAGCAAATTACATGTTTGGCCCTGTGGCTTTGAATACAAAATAAGAAGAAACAAGAAAAAGACTAAAATACCCCTTTATTTGACCAGCTTAACAAAAAAAATTAACAGAGCAATCCATAAATATGTCAAAATAGAAACCCGGGCTATTAAAACATATATATAAACCACAAGCGTTAAGAATGTAGTTTACTTTTATATAAAATCTCAGGATTTAACAATTATGAACCATGAGTCTGAAATTTTTGTAATCTTGATCTGGGTCTTGATATCTTCTAAGGTAGTTTCATACCCTTCATGTTTTGATAAAAAAAATTGAAAGAAATTTTTTGATCTAAAATTTACGGAGTCTATTTTTTTCTTCTATTATATTTCGACATGATTTATTTAAATTAGTTTTCATATGTCTTTAAATCTAACAAAATTATAATGCTTAGGAGGTTTGTCTTTAATGACCGGACATCTTATGTTAGTTTTTTAGAGAGAGAGAGAAATAATCTGGTCTGTTAAAGCTTTAATATCGTATAAATCAGATAAATCTGGGTAATTTTATTTATCTAACTTTTTTGTGAAATTATCAAAGGTATTTTCCATATTTTTTTACCTCTGACTTTCCTATCGTCTAGGTTAGAATGCAAAATTTTTATTTCATTATTTAACACAGAAACGGTGTCTACAAGACAAAAAAAAAGGTCTTTTTTTCCAATCTCAGCTAAATTAATTAACAAATCTAAATAGTATTTTGAGCCGGTTCTAAGGAATAAAAGACTATGCTGATGGATCTTTTCAAAATTACCCTTAAACGTATTTTTACAGCTAACGTAATAGATCTTTTATTTGTGATCGATAGTTAAGACCAAGATAGTCCAACTGTTTATTTTCTAGTTTTAAATTTTTTATTTTTTTGACAAAAAGATTAAACTACTGCAAATAACAAATAGATAAAAAAAATGGGATGCTGATAAAATAGCAATAAAAGACCAAAACAGTAAAATATTCTTCTTAATTTTTCAAGAAAATCAAAGGACAAACGAATAAAGTTATTTCTTATTTTTTTTTTTTTTTGAAGTAGGAATCGGGACAGATTAAGGACAAAATACAGTAACAAATTTAACTAGGTAGAAATTAAAGATGATCGTATATATTGCTCTGATACCAATACGAGGAGGGGTACCAGATGCAACAAAGGTAAACACGTATACGAACTTAAATCCTACTTGATTTTTTTTTCTATTTAGACTAGTAACGATATTGATGTAATCTCTTTCTCTGATAGATTCGAAAGACGACAAAGAGGTTCACTCTGACCTTAACTTAGTTTGTAGTTTGGGTCACTCATTATCAACATCAGCAATGTACAAGTTTATTAAGAAATTAGGTTTTTTAACACTTAAAAACAAAATTTTAAAAACATGAAATAAATAACAGTAATGATGTAATCCCTTTTTCAGACAACTTTTATAGATGACAAGAAGACTCACTCCGGCTTGATGAAGATTTAAATTAAATCGGAACTACGTATATTATAATATGTTATATTAATGTAATAATAATATAGTATATAAATTATATAATTATTAATTATATTAATATATTTATTAAAATATAATATATTATACTATAATATAATATGATAATTATATTATATATTAATATATATTTTAATATATTACTTAAATATATTTATTAGTTATATTTGTTTTTTGATATAAGATGTTTTTTGTACTTTTTATGTCAGCATTTTCATATGATATAGACATTTATTGCATCAATCCATCATTTTGTATATCGAGTGAACAATAAAGGATATATGATATCATTAAACTAATACTCTTGAACTTGGATCTTGTAACATTTTGGATAGTCGGCAACAAGTTGAAATCGTAAAACATTCTAAGTGTTTGATCAAATGTTATTATGTATTATTAACAAATCTAAAGGTTGAGGCTAACAAATATATTAATTAATTAGATTAATATATTATATAAGTATATTATATCATATATTAATATATTAATTAATATACAATATTATAATAAGATATCATATTAATATATTAATTCTGTTACATGGTTTTTCTCATCTTAGGCTAGTATTTAATATATTGATAAACATATATTTGTTTTATAATATATTTCATTCAGTTCACAATGTGAAACTTTTTTATTTGAAATTTTTCTTCACAAACAAGCTAAAAATGTTTATATTATGAAACAAATACATGTAGAACAAATATATTGTGAAATAAATACACGGACCGACCATAGAACCCTGTTCAATAAGTGATGTTAATCGATATTTAAAATGTTGGTCTTAGATTAAAAAAAATCCTATAAGATATCACATAATGCACTAGTTCTCAAGGTTATCACAATTTAATGAGTTCTAAAAAAAAGGTCACCCATTATATTAATATAATTAATATATTAATTATGAATTTTATATTAATATATTGATAAATGAGGTCTTCTTTTAAGAACTTGACAATTTGTAGAAACTTTGAAATCTATTTTAAACCATAAAATTATATTAAATTGAGAAGTTAATAATTTTGGTAATTCTGAATTATAATAAATAAAAGATCTTGTGGGGTATTTTAAAATTAACCTCTCTAACCACAAGAATGGTGTCTGATTGATTTTGAGCTTGGCTTCAAAGGTCAAAAGTATCAGAATGTCTCAGGTTCAAATCCAAGGAGGAATAAAAATCCCCTTGTGGCTACGGAGGTTAAAATGCGGTGACTCCGAGCTATCTGCAAAGTAGGTGGTCGTTTTGGGATTAATCGGCTCGCATAGCGAGCTCGATATCCAGGTTAATCAAAAAAAAAATAACCTCTCTCCTCTCTCCTCATATTAAAAATGTTACCTAAAAAATTAAAACTAAACCTAGCAAGAAGCATACCACATTGTGAACACCAAATATCATAACATATTATGAACACCAAATAAAATTATATTTAAACGTATCACTTGTGAATACCATGTGAATATAATAAATATATTGTGAACATATCATGAATCTACAAAATGGATTTGAGGGAATATAGGCTTTTTTAGGATTTCTAAAATAACAAAAAATTGGAAATTTAAAAAGTTATATAAAAAATGACTCAACAATTCATCTCCTGAGTTTACCTAAATATTACCATATTTGTAATATTTATGTCTGTAATATTACGGACCTAAATATTACGACATTTACAATATTTATGTCTGCAATAAAATTGGTCAATCTTACATAACTTGATTAATTAGTAATTTTTTTAAAAACTATAACTAAAAATTAAATTAAATATTTTACTAAAATCATTTAACACAATTTTATTATCTATAAAACTAAATAAGTATAAGTTAGATTTTTATATAACTTGCATGTTCATTATTAGAATTGTTATATTTGTTTTTGGATAACTAAATATATTAAACAATAATTAAAAAACAATCATACAAAAATAATTGTTATGATCAATGACAATTCTAAATAATTAATAATTAATATTAAGGTATAATGTACAATTAAAATTAATTACTATTTATTAATATTAGTAATAAATAATATTTTATCATTTTTATTTATTGATAAATATATATATATATAGAGAGAGAGAGAGAGAGAGAGAGATTGTTTCAAATGCAACCTATGACATTTGTACAACAATGCAACCTAATAAATTTAAATATTTATGCAAATGATGAGAGTTCATTTATTATGATTTAAATATTTATGAAAGATTAATAAGATTCATTAATTATTATCAATATTTTATATTATGAAACAATCAAAACTTCTATGAAATAACATATTCATCAAATTAAATGGACGGTTGAGATTGGGTTGTATTGGTTATACAAATGTAAAGAGTTGTATAATAACCCACATTTCTCTCTCTCTCTCTCTCTCTCTCTATATATATATATATATTTAATAATAATTAATATTAGGAAGAGAAAAAAAATGAGAAAAAAAAAACTTCTCATAAATTATTCCAGCTAGCTTTTAAGGCACCTTATAAATTAGGTACAAGCTAGTTTATGTCTATTCAAACATGTACTAAAAAAAAACTACTTTAAAATATCTCCAACAGCTTCTCAAAATAGAGAAAATTGGGATTTTGAGCAACTTTTTGCTCCAATAGATTCCCCAAAACTTTATCTAAACGGGAGAAAGTAAGAGAGAGTGTAAAATCTTTAAATTTGGGGAAATTCCATAAATGATTACCATGAGGGTGAAAGTGAAACATTTTTTTTAATATATTCTACCAATAAAAATCTTTAGATTGAAATTTTATGCAAGAGAAATAATATTTTATTGAATATATGAAATATTTTAATAATATAATGAATGTTATAATCTCCAAAATAGAGAAATTATTGGAGATGAATACGATGTTTTTAGATTTTTTTAAATTTTGATTCTCTATTATAGTGAATTTTTGGAGAATCTGTTAAATATCTCTTGTAACCTAACTTATATTTGTCGAATAATGTCTAATATATTTTAAA